TTAAGCCGTGGACCATTGTAGCACGTCCAAATAGGTAAGTTACGTTTGCGTGCATGATCGTTTTCAAGAAAAACCTCATCCTTGGTGATTTGAGCCTCCTATGGACTCATTTTATATTTTTATTATATAATCTGATTTTAGGGAATTTTGGAGTTTTTCTTCGAGAAATAAATTCCAGTCTTTATATGGTCACTTAGAAAACGTGATTTTACGGGGGGTTTCTTCTTTGTGTTTTTCTAGAAAATGTCATCTTGGTACCGGAAATCCCTCGCAAAGTTCAGCTCTTAGTTTTGTATTTTAGCAGCTTTTTAACCCACATGACTAGATTTCATGGAGGGTAATTTTGGGCATTTTACAGCGAGTTTTTTTTTTCATTTTCTCTCACGATGCTGAGTAGAAAATTTGATTCCGGGTGGGGTTTTCTCTTCGTGTTATTCCAGAAAAATTCGTTTGGTAGCCCATTTTTGATCTCAGATGTGGACAGTCACTGTAGCATCTCTTGACCTCTTATGATCTAGGGGCATTTTGGGTATTTCACATTGTGTTTTTTTCATTTCCTTCCGTGTGGTTGGGTAGAAAACTCGATTTTAGGGGGGGGGGTTTCTTCTTAGTGTTTTTTCAGAAAAACTCGTTTCGACCTCCGTTTCAAGCCTTAGTTTCGGAAACTCATTTTTTTCTTTTCTTGTTGTCAGTATTTGCATGCCATTGGGCGCCGCATGGGGCACCGGTGGGCTTGCGCATGGGCGCCGGGCGCGCCATGGCCTTCGTCGGGCCGCTGCGACGTCTCAACTTCAAACCTTCGTTTCTTCCTTGTTCAGACTCCAAAACGAGTGAAATTTTTTTTGAACTTGACTAATTTTTCGCTGTCTTTCCAACGATGTGCTCGGTTACACCCGGATCTTCCTGAATAATTACCAATTTACCCTTTTTGGCTTAAGTGTTCATTTTTCTTCGTCATGTCGTTTTTCCTTTGTCCGGACTCCGAATCATGCGATTCTTGAGTCCATCTTGATTAGTTTTTTGTTGTCTTTCCAGCGGTGTGCTCGGTGACACTCAAATCCATAGTTTTAAAAATTACCATTTTGCCCCTGGGGGCTTATTTGGTCTTTTTCTGATCTTTTCTTCCGTGTCGGTTCTCGTGGAGTTCCGTGGCCTTATGAAATGTCACTTTGGTATCCTAGGGATGTTGCATATCCCTAGAGACTTGTTTTCTGTTTTCGCTTTCGCATTTTGGATCCGTAATCGGGTCAAACTACGATTCATTATAGGACGCACTGGCTTGAAAAACCAGGGCCGTCACACTAACGATGAGAATTTGTTGAAGATAGGCAGAGGAGGTCTCATTGGGCGTGCAAAAAATTTGTACACACAAATTTCGTATCTGCAAATAAAGAACGAAATAGGGAGCAAATAATAATCTCATTAATTTATGAAATTTGAGTACAATCCTCTGAGGTATTCTTTGCAAAAGAAATAAAATATCCTCCGATTCGATCTCTTTTGTTGGTTGGATCCAAGGGCTGTTGGAGCTTGATATTGAATCGGCTATTGACAATCTTCTTCAAGTATTTGTAATTGAGGAAAACAGTCGATGATTTCTGATTGAGGGCTGACGAAGCTTGATCTCGAATAATGTTGTTTGATGATTCTTCAAACTTGTTGAATCGCAGGAAAAGAACGACACGATTTTGATATGCTTGTTGTTCTTTGTAGAATTTAAGGAAGAATGACACGGTTTGATGTGCTTATTATTCCGGAAGAACGACACGACTTTGGATTGGATGTGCTTGTTATTTTTCATCTTCAGAGAATTTGTTGAATTTGTGGAAGAACGACACGGCTTTGGTTGTGCTTGTTATTGATCATTGTGGAATTTTGATGAAGTACGATACGATTTGATGTGCTTATTGCTCTTCGCCTTCAGGTTTGGGTGTTAGGGATGAATATTGGTAGAGTTTCTGTATTTTTCTCTGAAATTCTCAATTTTTATACATCTTTCTCCTTCCTCCATACCTCTTTTTATAGGCTTCTTGGATTAATAGGACGATGACATGTGTCCTCTCTTGATAAGGACATAATCATAACTGGCAGAGCCGGTTATATTGTGATAATTATCCATAAAAATAATTATTTCAAATATATTTTATTAAGAATAATTACCTTTTTATTTAATCACTTGGGTTGGACCAATTAAATAATTTAAGTTGACCAAGTTTGGGCCAATTAAATAATTTAATTAAACATGAGACCTATATTTGGTGGGTCAATTTGCCAAAATAAAAGTTCATGAAATTTTAGTGTCTATAATGTAAAAAGATATTTCCAACACTTTGATTGAGTTGATCAAGTAATTAAGACATTTGAAATCAAATGTATCAATAACCTTCATTTAAAATTTAACTTAAGATCAAATTCACAAATAGAAAAATCTTGTGACTAATTTCAAATGTGTTAATAACCTTGTTTGAGTCATGATTCGCAGCATTGATTACGGTCGCAATATCGGTCGCGGTGTAATGAATTCTGATCAAGAGATTGATTGGGATTGTTATTAGAATGATGAAAACGCTTTTGACAGTAGAGGTGTTACAACATTGCTGTCAGTAAAAATCATGTTATGTGTTTTGTAATGCATTTTATAAAACTCTTTTATACTTAAAGCACATATAAATTTGTTTGGTAACAATGTTGTTTAAAATACTTTTATTATTAATTTATTATATTAGACATACACTAAAAATAATGTTGTATGATATTAATGTGAGTGATTCATTTACATGGCATGGTTGTTGGTTAATATTACATGATTATGGGTTATAAAACTAATTTAAATATACTTTACAACTGGAAAATAGTTTAAAATTTTCACTTTACGCCTGCTATAGTTTTTGTGTGGCTTATCAGATATAATGCGAACAATGAGAGTGATGCATATTAGTAAGGGATAAATTTGTATTTATAAATAAAAGTAAGGGATTATATTGTAAAAAAAAATAATTACCTAACCCTACCTCGAACGCAATTCCAAAAGTTATGATTTCTGACTTTACGTGCAAGTTTGTTTTAAGAAATCTCCAGAGTCTTAACACACGTTCTTTTGTCACAAAACAACTAATCGTAGTTTTTTAAAACCAATGTCCTTTTTAACTGCAAAGAAGTAATTCCAAACAGACACAAATTCAATGTAAATTATTGGACTTTAAAAAAAAATTGCATATCGACCAGTACCGCTAATCATAGTTTGAATTTAACTCGAAAGTGGTGATTTCGTAAAAGAAAATTGACTAATGATGGAAATTTTATTTTAGAAACTCTTTGATTGCACTGAAAAACGGAATTAGACGCATAAAAACATGAATGCCGAACACGGAACACGTGTAGGAGGAGACCATACTAAAACTCTAGTAGTACTGGCATGACTGGCTACACAAGATGATTAGACGAGCTATCAATCCCGTGACTATTGAGTAAATTAATCATTTACATAATTGTTGTTGGAGCATCTAATAATTTCAATTCCCACCTCGATTTGATAATTTAATTGGTACTCATGATTTTTCCGTGAATGGTCAAGCTATGTCATCTTTATTTCGTGTGATTGTGTTGTGCACCAAGTCAAGTAAATGTGTTCGAGTATAATAGCGGTAAAATTTTTAGTTACAAAAAAGAAAAATAGTATAAAAATGACAAAATGTAAATCACATAAAATAAGAATTGGCATCATCTTTATCTTGCGTGATTATGTTGTGCGCTAAGAGATTTTATCACACAAAGTAAGAATTGGCATCATCTTTAACTCGTGTAATTGTATTGTCCACCAAGTCACGTAAAATGATAGCGAATGCGAGCATAAAAACGACAAAATTTTAAGTCACACAAAATAATTATTATATGAAAATGACAAAATTTAAGTCACATAAAATAAAAATTGTATAAAAATAACATAATCTAAGGACGGTTTGGAATGTATTACGATATTATTATTTTTTATATTGGTCTTCAAATTTGGGCCTAGCTGGTATTAGTTTGGAATAGTTTATAATATCAAAAAAAAATTTTTTTACCCAAACCCTTTTGAAAATGTAGAAAGGAACTAAAGCCAATTTCCCAAAAACAAAATTTCATTACCAAATATGGTTTCAATTTATATCCAAAATACTCTCTTACAACAAAATAGTTATTTTAGTATGGGTCAAGACAGAAAATACTTGAAGTATGCTTACAATTCTTATTACATTATTCATGTGTAAAAAACACCCATAAAGTTTCAATTTAGTGCAAATAGACTATCTGACAAATTTAAACCCTAAGCTGACTAAATTACTCTTACTGAATTATTTTATAAAATATATAAAAATAAATAATTTCTGGTGCAAATAAGTCCCTAAGTTACTAAAATACTTTTATTGAACCATTTTATAAAATAAATATTTTTATAAAATGATCTAAAATGAAACTTTGGATGACGCCAGGATTGGACAAGTAAAGATAAAAATATAAAATATAAATATAAATATAAAAAAAAGTATAAAAAATAAAAATAAAGTGCAAACTAAAAAACAAATCATATTTATTTTTTAACCTTGTTGAAATGGAAAAAAAAAAAAAAAAAAATTAGTCCAGAAAAGTAAACTGGAATGTTAAAAAATTCAAATCTGGTTCTACAAATTATCAAAAGTCTTTTATTAGAGATATATATAAAGAAAAAAATTTCAAAAGAAAAAAATATATATATATAAGGTAACATCCATTTAGATTAGTGTCATATATATAAACTCTTTGGATATTTTTATTTATGGAAAAAGATTAGAAGTATATTTTGCACATTTTTTAAATAAGGATAAAAATTCGGGCAAAGCGTTTATCTGGTGATAATAAGAATCTTTGTTGTGCACGGCTAATTAAAACAAAAACAAAGAGAGAGAATCTACAAACCAATTTGGGATTGCCATTGATGCTTGTGTTATTCTAGATTAACCCGGATGCCAAAGGACAAGAACTAGTCACAAATATCCATACCTTACTGTTGATCAATTACATAATTTTATTCATACCATATTACAAATCCACATAAAACCACATTGGTTAAGCCATCCCAGACACATAAAATTAAAAAAAGAAACAACATTATTAGATTAAACTAAATCACCACCACCATTAACGCTAACCCTAACCTTGAAACACACAACAGTTTTTGGGCAAACTAAATCACCCCCACCGTTAACGGTAATCCTAACCTTGAAACCACACCATTCTATTCAGTTTTTGGGCGAAGGATTGAAGGTCAGCAACTGCTCGGAATGTTCCCACGCTTTCACCACCACCACGGCGTCGAACGTCTTGCTGATCCCATTCCGATCGGTGGCGGCGACCTTCAGATAGTACTTGATCCCCGAAACCACCTGCTTCTCCGCCTCCACCACCTCCTTGAACGTCAGATCTCCGCCACCGCCGCTGGCCTTCCCCCGCTTGCTCCGGTTATACTCCTTCACCGAGTACTTCCCTAGCTCCTGAACCTCCTGATTCGTCTTCACGTCCTGGATCTTCGTCCTCCCTCCGACGATACCTCCGACGCCGCTCGCCGGCGTCGGGAAATACGCAGCGGCGAAGAGGACCACGAGGAAGGCGAGTGTGGCCATCGTTAGGATCGCCGACGGTGACCTTCTCGTCATGATCGGTGAGTTTTTGTGATTTTTTTTTTGGTTGATGATATTTGTTTTGTGTGAAGGATGTGAATGAATAAATGAATGCGTATGAGGTGGGGTATATATAGGGATAAGGATTGGTGGTGTTTGGACACGTTAATTGCGGAAGTGGCAACACGATCTGCGTGCCGCGGAGGGAAAACGATGGACCGAGAAGTGTTTGATTTTAATGCGTTTCTCCATCCCTCGTTTCGCATCCCTATGCGTTTTTTTCTCTCTCATATTTACCCCTCGTGTGGTGGCTTATTACAACAAGTTCAACTATTTTTTTTGGGGATAATTACTAATACATGGGCTTAAGGCCTCAAATTTACTCTAAAATGGAAATAAAGTCTTGATTTTCTTTAAAATGACTCAAAGTAATATATTAATAGAACAAAAGTCTTAGATCATGAAATAAAATTACAGAAAGTTAGACAAAAGATCGCATATATAAATTTAATTTAACGAAACAATATAACTCTGATACTAAAATTGAGACGGATCCGACCAGATAGAAGCATGCAAAATAACATAGAATCAATTTAACAATTAAATCACAGAAATGACTGCCGAACCTAATAACGCTCTGATAACGCCCTATAGAAACGCCTGAACACTGGCAAAGAACGGGCCAACAAGCCAACAGTTCGAGTCAACTCACAGAAGAAATTGCTAAATCAAACTAAGGCTGCTTGTACTGGTTGGAATACGTGAAAATTCTAGGATCTACACTGTTTGGCTAAATAAAATCTATATTTTTGATCTTTTTGTCGACAGAAGTCTTTTGCCCGAAAGTATTGAAAATACTAAATAAAGAAAAGGAAATTGTTGAACAAGAGCAAACTGGATGATTTATTTCATGAAAAATATATACATGGATATACTCTGTTTATACATGGATACACTCTTACACTATATGTTACAAAGGAAATATACTGAAAGAAATCACAAAAGAAAACACACTGGAAACTGAAGGTTGGATGCTTGATGGTTCGAGACTTGATGACTTCTAAAGATACTCCTTTTGTGAGCAGAGAGGCTTCTTTTTATAGCAGAAGAGAGGGATGAATCGGTGGTTTAGCTTGAAGATGCTGTTTGGATGGTGGAGATTTAAGATGCTTTAGAGATAAGATGACATGAATTATTGCTGAACTGTTGATGTCGTCTTCTTGGAGAATTATATCAACTTTTCCTGTTGGGAATCTGCTTTCGGTGGATCTGCTTTTGTCTATACACTATTGAGGATCTACTTTTTCTTGGATGCTGAAGTTGCCTTTATCTTTACTGTAGAGAATCTGCTTTTGCTCAAAATTCGTGCATATTATCCAAATTTCTGTCGGTTGGGCTAGCTGGTGAGATATCTCCTCTGTGCATGCGGGCCAGATATTCATCAGTGCTGTCTGGTGAGCTAGTTTCTTCGTTTCTGTAGGCCAGTTCAAGCTGTTCTAATAGCATCTTTGCCTCGTTTATTATTTCTTCAACTTCCGGGAATATCTCAATCTCTGGAGGAGACTTAATGACATGAGGAATTCTTGCTTTAACAAAAATTTCCATATTGATATTATGATCGTAGAGTCTAAAACCAGGATTGTAGCTTTGGTTAATTTGTCGATAAGCTTTATAGTACACCAAATGGTTAAAGGTTGTGGGGTCAATTTCAACATGAAAGTTATTTGCGAAATCAACATGTCGTGTTAGAATCTTGACTTCAGTTGGATCAGAATGAATGTAAACTTGATGCTGTCCCAAAATTATCGCTCCATCTTTTACCCATTCTGGGGGAGTACTGTAGATTTGAAGGAGAATTGGACTTTCTGGCATAAAACTCTGGGTTATTTTTTGTTCAAAGGTGATGGCTTGGTTTAGACGGTTGGGAAAATTACACAGAGAATTGAGATATTCTAAGGGCGTATCCTTGGGTATTGTGACACTGTAGATCATTCCTAGTTCTAATAACTTGCTTAAATAACAAATGGTTGTTTTGGTAGAGAAAAGGGTTTTTCTAGTTATTTCAAAAGGAATAAAGAAAATAGGATCTACATCTAACAAGATAACGGACATAGGTATCTGGGTGCCTGTTTGTATAAATCGTAAGAAAAAGTAGTTATATTGGATTCCTTTGGGTGGACTATTATTTTTGAGGTAGTTTTGGATATCAACCCACTTTGTAAAACCATCAGACTTAATCTCTTCAAGAATAAGGTCTTTGAGATCATCAGGGAAGAGCTCAACTTATTGTTTTAGGATTTCTCTGTAAGTTGGGGAAAAGAGGGGTAGAAGCTTAGCATACTTGGTTTGTACCTGCAAAAATTGAACTTTCTGAAGATTTTCATCTTCATTAGTTATCTGTTCAGAAATAGTTAGTTCTGTGGGGTTTTCTGTTGATCTTTGATAGGCTAAATTTAATTTTTTATATTGAGATATAAGAATCTCGTGCTCCTTTTGTAAATTCTGATATGCTGTATTAGTTGTTACAAAATATTCACTTAAGGTGTTTAGATTTCTAACGAGGGTTCTATCGGGGTTGTTTCTGGAAAACCAAATATTATCTAAAATAAGTTTTTGGTCAGGAAAAAGATTATGTCTAGCGCGGAACTGTTGAGTTGGGTTTTGGATAATTAAAAGAGGATTAGAAGTGCCCGGTATAAGGCTATAGCTATTGTTGCTCGTGATCTCCATTCCTGCAAAATTTAACAATCAATAAGTAAATGAGAGAGAATATCTGCTAAATAATTATCTTTTCCTCTGACATGTTCAAATATAGGTTTAAAGCCTCTTCCAGTAATACAGTCAATGAAGGAAATCCATCTCTTAGCAGACATCCGTTGTTGTTTTGCTTTATTTGCAAATTTAACTATATTATCACAATCTGTTCGTATAAGAAATTCTTTATCAAGGAAAATCTGAAATTTTTCAATAGAGTTGGTTACTCCTAGAATTTCTAGATCTGTTGAGGGTAAAATAGATTATGCTTTATTAAAAGTTCCACTAGTATGGCGACAAATTTGTTCTTCATCTAGAGAAGATTCTTTTGTCGGTCTTTGAAGAAGTAATCCTGCCCATCCCTGAGCTGATGCATCTGTTTGAATAATTTTATAACTTTTTTCAAGTGGAAGCTGTAAAGGTTCTAACTGCGAGACTAAAGTTTTAATTTTCTTAACTAATTCTATATCTTGGATATTGAAATACTTTTGACCATGTTTTCTGAGTTTTGAATATAAATGTCTTACTAATTGTCCTAATTTGGGAATAAAATTACGACCATAGTTTAATAATCCTAAAAATGCTTGTAACACCTTGGTTTCTTCTAATTTATCAGGAAATTATAAAATCTTTTTAACAATATGAGATTGTAATTCTATCTTTTCATCTTTTATGTATAAACCTAAGAATTCAATATCTTGCTTTTCTAATATCATCTTTTTACTGCTTATAATGAGTCCTTGTGTTATAAATTCATTGAATATAATTTCAAGATGTTTTCTATGCTCTTATTTAGTTTGACTGAAGACTAAGATATCGTCGATGTAAACACAACATAATTTTGAGTGTTTATTAAATATAGTATCCATTTTTCGCTGAAACTCTTGTGGTACATTTTTTAATCCAAAAGGCATAACAAACCACTCATAATGTCCTTCAGGACATATGAACGCTGTCCATTCAATAGATTAATCGGCCATCCGGATTTGTCAAAATCCTGATTTACAGTCAAATTTAGAAAACCATTTTCTATCTTGGATTCGATTTATTAAAACATCTTTGTTAGGGATTTTATAACTATCATCATAGGTATTATCATTTAATCTTTTATAATTTATAACCATACGAGCCTTTTTTTTTTTTTTTTTTTCGGCATGATTTCTAACCATAAAAGCTGGACTCCTATTTTTACTATTACTTTTTCGTATTACTTTTAGTAATAATAGTTCTTTAATTTGTCTTTGGAATTCTTCTTGATCGTCTAAGGTATGAGGATTATCTTGTATCTTTATAGTTATAAAATGATTTATTATTTTTAATTTTATTTCAATTTTATTTTTATACCAGTGTTTCTTGGGGTCTTCACCTAAAATTTCTGTGGTTTCAGCTAATCTTATGAGATTATCTATGTTTAGTTTGGGGTTTTTTAATATGGCTTTATTATTAAGAAAAATCTTTGGTTCATCAAGATGACTAAGAAACGTTAAGGCTTCAGAAACGTCTTCTAAAAATTCGGATACATCAAATAAATTTTCTGTCGTTTCTTCTGTCATAGGTAGAGTATTAACATATGTAATGGCTCCTTTATCTTTTTAAGGAATAAAAGGATTTTTAGACGGAATAAAGATTCCTTTCTTAAAAAACTATAAGCCTGTAGGGGTATACATAAATCCTCCGGTAAGTAAGTTTATAAAATTTAATTCTAAGATAAAGTTTATAAAATTTAATTCTAAGATAAAATCATAGGTGCTAGGGATATTATTAACTACGTAAGTCTAGGGTAAAACGAACTTTTCATTATTAATTAATATAGGAATGTTTTGAACACAATGGGTTATTGGAAGTTTTTCATTATTATACTGGCTCATGTTAACATTATAATTTAACTTTACTAAGGCTTCATCTGGGACTAAATGTTTTTGAATTATACTTTTAGATGCTCCAGTATCAAGCATAGCTGAGGTTTGAACTAATTTTTCTCTAAATTCTAATGTTATTGGGAATTGAATTAGACTAGATGGTTTATATATTGAATTCATCGATTCAACTAAATATCTTTTTGCTTATCTTCATATTTTGTGTAGCAATTATAACATAATAAAGTTTTACAATGGTTTTCACAGTAATAATCTTTCTTAATAGATATGTTGCACTGTTTACAATTATAAGAGGAAAATTGAAAACTAACTGTGTTATACTAACATGATGGATTACTTATAGTATAAACGAAATCTTCTAATGAATGAAGTCCTTATTCAAAGTCTTCATCATTATCAAAGTTACTATCTAAGATCTCAATACTATATATACTTTCATTATCATCGTCAGAGTCATAAATGCTTTCTAATTCATATAATTCTCTATCTGTTCTTCAATATCTTCGAGTATGTTGATCTTTTCTTGTATCCTTTTAATAGGGTTTTGTTTGTATCGATG